GTTCCCTGGAACGGAGCCTCTTAGCTTAACGGGGCCTTAGCAGCTGGGCAAATAAAGCCTGGAGTCTCATATATACTATATCGCGAAAGCAACTATTGAGTGCAAAACTATAAACTATTTTTTTTATTTTACCAGGTAACGCCCACGGAGCTGTATAGTTATTTTTCAGAAGCGACCTGGCAATCACAAATGATAGCCCAGCGAAGTGGCTCATCATCGTGTGGGAAATAATAGCGGACAAATACTGTAAATGCATGAATCTAAATGTGAAGGGAAAAAAACAGAGGACCCGGAGAAAAATCCACACAACCGCGGGGAGAGAGCCACGCAAACTCCAAATATACAGCAGCAGCAGGCGTCAGGGTCGGGATCGAACCCACGACCTCCTGCATACCAGGCGAGGTGGTTAACATCTCCTAGCCACCGCGGCTTTGGGATCAAAATAATAAACCAAAGAAGCGACCAAGGGAAAGCTCAAGGAATGCTTTTGGAAAACTGAGTTTGATGACGACGACGATGATGATGATAATGCCGTTTTGTCTCAAGAGGAGAGTATTCAATAATTTCATACGGCCAGATCTGAGAGAACCCACCACGCATACGAGCCGAACACCACTCTTTGGTGTCCCACCAAAGGAGGATTCAATCGACAGGCTCTGCAGTATGAATGGACCACATCTGTGAGACGCGTCAACGTTGCGCTCGGTTATCGAGTCTCAATCTTCGTGGTAGGTTGACCATACCGGACCACGCCGGTTAATCCCGGTTGGTGAAGTGGGTCCGGTGGAGGAGGTAGTTTCCAGGACCGGTTCGGGTATCACTGTGGTAAGACCGTGGCCAGGAATCGAACTCAGGTTGGCGTTTCCGTCTCGCAATGCGCAAGCAAATACCCCGCTGCTCCTCCCAAAACAATGCGCAGCTACGCACCAAGCGTGTCGGGGCGTGCTTTGTAACCACGGTCGCGAATTTACTCACGCACGAGGACATTGCCTTCTCTTGTCCTACTAGTTTTCAGGTTTCAGTTTCATATATTTGGTATAGCCCTGTGAGCCATTCGGCTCTTGAATCGGGTGCAACCGCAACAAACAAAAACATGAACAAGAAAACATCTTAAAGTGATTATGTGACTGTGCAAACAGAAAATCCAGGAAAAAAACATCAAAATATTCCTGAAAAAGCACCGTACACCAACGCTGTGTGCAAAAATCCCAGTGGGATGCAAGTCAAACAACAACAACAACAACCACAAGACAACTTAGATTAAGGCCATCAGTCTAACTCCGTAACTACAACAAACAAACTTAGACAGGCAGGTATATGGACAAGTACAGTCATTTTTGCCTATCCACTGCTGGATGAGGAACATACATCACCACGCTGGGTTGCTGAATTCTGTGAGCAAGTACTTGGGAGCACACGACACACATTGCTTGTGGTGATCATGCAAACAAACATGTACTAATAATTATATAGAGGCATTGTCTTTGAAACTGATTGGCCTACAGCAGAGACGGCATTAATATGGCCTCGTCTCACCAGTGTCAGTCCAGAGAACGCCAAAAGGCGCAGCACCCCTTTAAAGTCCATTGTACAACTGGCTCAGACAGAGACAGAGAGACATACACGCAGAGAGGCCGAGACAATCAGACGGGCAGAGAGGCAGACGGGTGAATAGAACAAATCCGCATCCCCGTTCACCGCGAGGCTGCAGGCGTGGTCACGTACAGGTCGCGCCTGCTGACGGATGAGCGCACCCGAAATGCACGCGCGCCTTACTCAAAGCCCCATCTCCCACCGCCTCGAGCGCCGCCCCCCTCCTCCCCACCCCCACAGCTCGTAGGAGCTCCGTTCGCATCAATCCGTCCCGGTGAGTTTTAAGTGCCGCCTGACTCTCCTTCATAACGAGCGAGGCAGCAAGAGCGGAGCAGCATGCCAGCGGGGTGTTGGGTGACCGCAGAGAGCGGATGGTAATGCCTCGTAATGGAGTGAGTAGCCCCCCCCCGGTCTATCCCCCCCACCCCCATCCCACCACAGCCCCCCCCCCCCACCACCACCTAGGGAATTGTATTATGGGGCTCGATTACACAAGAGATACGGGCATTTGTGGATAAACTCCCAGATTTGTGCGAGAAATGAATCGCGTGGAGTTTGACAGCGATAAGAGACTTGCCCGCGATGCAACATTAACCGAGGCGGCGGGTCTGGCTTGCCTCGCGTTTTAAAATAAACCCTTTAATTTGATTTCACGCCTTGACCGTGCCTGTGCATGGTTTTAACGCCGTAAACATGCGGTAGCATGGGGTCACAACGTTGAACCGTTTACGGGTCGCTGGTCGACTGCAGTAGGCGGCACGTGACTAGTCGCCACAGCCCATAGTGACAGTATACTCGACGTGGTGTGCCAGGTACATGAATAATAAAACACCTTAAATTTTTTTTCAGGTAAGGCCCACTGAGTTATTTGGGTTTTTTTTCAGAAGCGACCTGGCCACAAATGATAGCTCAGTGCAGTGGCTTAATCATGTGGAAATTGAGAGCAGCAAAATACTCTTAACGCGTGATGCTTCTAAATGGGGAGGGGAAACCCGGAGGACTCGGAGAAAAAACCACGCGACCACGGAAAGAGAGAGACATGCAAACTCCAGATATACAGCAGGCGTCAGGGTCGGGATCAAACCCAGGACCTCCTGTATACCAGGCGAGGGTGTTAATATCTCCGAGTCACTGTGACGATGATGGTGAGAGAGAGAGAGACACCGCAAACTTCACATATCTAGCAAGCGCCATGGTCGGGATCGAACCCACGATCTCCAGTTTACCAGGCGAGTGAGTCAACATCTCCTAGCCACCGTGGCACTTAAAGCCTCACCAAGTGTCTTTCCGTTGACACGGACAGGCCCCGTTGTAATGTAAGCCCTGTGTGTGAGGTGGAGCGGTGGTTCTGCAGTTAACATGCTATGAACCCGGCCATACGAGTTCGATTCCCGCTCACGGCCACCAACGCCAGTGACAATTATCTGAAGTCTTGGGCCTCCCCTGGGTCGACTCAGAATCAAATAAGTACCTGGTGCGGTTTGTAAGCATAGCCACTGGGGAGACAAAGGCGGCGGGTCGCGTTGCTGGCCACCCATCCCTTCGTGTGTTGTGCCGGCCTTCATAGGTGCTCGCTAGCAGCACTTGCCCCAACAGTCTGCCAAGGCTATAGGGGGGAATCGTTTCCTTTGCTTGGATAGGGTAGTGCCGTGTGTTCCACCCTGGTTGTGATGATGACGAAGGCGCGCGCTTAGTGACACCATCACCATCACCCAATGATATGAATGAATCCTCCGAGTGTTTATGCATAATTAATTAACGATGTTCAAGTCCTTCTTTTTCTCTCCAGTTGCTGGATCAATTGCGGATCAGAGGCGCAGGCGCCCGCGGAGGGAATGTCGAACACGGTTGCAAAGTGCGCAGTGCTGCGTTGCACGTTTTTATTATTATATTGGCGGTGATGCTGCTGCTGCGTTGGCAGTGATACACAAGCACAACCAACAACAACAACTCTACACGTTCCGTGTCAACAGCAACAACACCGCGTGGCCTTCAAAAGAAAGAAACATATAATAGGCTACGTTTCGGGAAACGGCCCTCCTTGGCAAGACATAGAGAGGCCAGAGAGGTAGAGATCACTCTCGAGAGTGGATTCTACCTCTCTGGCGTCTCTATGTGATGTGAATAAGGGGCATTGCCCGAAACGTCGCTTATTATACATTTTATCTTTTTTTATTTTTAAAAGACCGCAGTGTTGTTTTTAACGAATATCTTAAAACATGTAAGATGTCGAGTTGTCTGTCTGTTTGTTTTTTGGGCACAGGGTTCAGAAAGAGAAACACGTGGAGTAGTGAACGGGCGCGGCTCGCAAAAGCAACCACACAGAGCTCTCGGTCAACCAATCGCTATGTCGGTCATCGCTGGTCGTTTGACCATACTTCACCGCGCCGGTCAGTGCGGGTTGGCGAAGGGGGCCTTGCAGGTGGCCGCTGGGGTGCGGAGTTCGGGGTTAGGGGTTCGGGTCTCGGGGCACAAGGGGCGGTGAAGTTCAGAGATTGCTGGCCACTTCTTGATGCCATCCGTGGCCCGGAATCGAACTTAGGCTGCGTGCAGATACACGGGTGGCTTCGTAGAGCGCACCGCGGCGCGCTGATCACTCACCCCGCGAGTGAATTGTCAGCCACAGGTGCAGTGCGGCGGTTTCTCTGCTAACCTCGCGTCTCCCGCGTCTCTCTTTTCCCACCCGGTGTTCGTCGCCTCATTAGGGCCTCTTGCCGCTAAAGCTCCGCGCTGTCTCCCCTATCCGGCGCTGTAGGGTTTTAGGTAATGGAGTTAGCGATGTCTGAATGAGGTCGGAAGCGTTGGCGCATTAGCTCTGTCTGTCTGCGGCGAGCGAAGAGGCGGGGCGGAGGAGGAGGAGGCGGAGGTGGTGACATGATCATGATATCGCTCGTAAAGATGATCCAACATGTACGGAGCTTGACTGCAGCGTTGCGTTGCTGCTGTTGGGGGGGGGGCTCTACCATCATAGACTCGGGCCCCGTTGATGAATCACAGCGGGGCTGACCCCGACCCTGCATCGGCAGCACCGCAAATCCGAGACCCCCTCGTCTCATTGCGGCCCGTGGAATGTATTCAATAACAACAACAAACAAATGTACAGAACGTAAACACTTAACCGGGATTACGATTTCACTTTAGTTTTTTTTGTACGAGTTAATAAGTGACGTTCAGTGGGGCTAAACGTTGTTCGGTAAATCGGCCGACCCGCCGTCAAGTACAGGTGGTGAGGTGGTCAGATCATAAAGAGGTAGGTGGGTGATGGAGAGGTAGGGTTTGGAGGGGCAGGGGGGCTGGAGGGGTGATGAGGCTGGGAGCGGAGGGATGAGTCCGGTGTGGGGATAAGTTGACGCGTGGGTGGGGGGGGACATTAGTGGTGTGGGGGTGGGGTGATCGGACCTTGATAGAATGAAAGCGCTCGCTCCGTCCATGCCAGCATAGAGAGCTTCCTCTCACCCCTCTCATTCCACTCACCCCTCTCACTCAGCTCACTCCTCTCACTCAGCTCACTCAGCTCGCCCGGGATCGGCGGCGGCAGGGCTGGTGGCAGCAGCGGCGAATTCATCTCAGCAGCCTCGGGACCATGGCCTCTCACGCGGGAACTGCGGGCTTCTGCCGCGAGATGTGGTCCGGATTCTTTGACTACGAGACGCCCAAGACCATGGTGGTGAAGAGTCGCAAGCTGGGGATCGTCTACCGCGGGGCGCAGGCTCTCATCCTCACCTACTTCGTCGGGTGAGCGTGGCCACGGACTGGGCTATGGGGTAAGGGGGTATGGGGCTGGGGTATGGGGCAGGGGTATGGGGCTGGGGTATGGGGCTGGGGTATGGGGTTGGGGTATGGGACAGGGATATGGGGCAGGGGTATGGGGCTGGGGTATGGGGCAGGGGTATGGGGCTGGGATATGGGGCAGGGGTATGGGGCTAGGGTATGGGGCAGGGGTATGGGGTTGGGGTATGGGGCGGGGGTATGGGGCAGGGGTGTCGGGTTAAGATATGGGTTGGGGTATGGGGCAGGAGTGTGGGGATAGAGGGAGGGCAGCAGTGGGGCAGGGAGAGGTAGCAGAGAGAGGACAGAGAGAAGGAGAGGGCTGGAGTATGGTCTGACAGAGGGCAGTGGTATGGGTAGGGAGAGGGGCAGGGAGAGGGGCAGTGGTTGGGGCACGGAGCGAGGGCAGGTAACTCCGTAAACACGAAAACCGTGTACGTGAACCAGTCTGTGCCCCGTGAAAACCATGGACCACTCCCCCCCCCCCCCCCCCCCCCCCCACCTTTGCATGAGAACGTCTTGGCTGTACACCGGTGGTGTGCGGCAAAATAAAATAATAAAATGTTCGCAATGTTTCTTTATTTATTACCCGCGAATCGTAACCCCGGTCAGAAAACCCTGCGGGGTGGTGGTGGTGGCGCGAGTCAACATAAGTTCTCGTCATGTCGAAGCAGTCGGGGGACGAACGTTGTTGTTACGAGCGGCTGCGCACTAAGAGGCTTCGCAGTCTGTTGCCGCACAGCAGCACCCCGCCTGATGACCACTGGCTGGCTCCGTGCTCACAAAGGCAACACTTGACTCCTCGTGCCCGAGACTTGGTCGGACGGCTCCTCGATTCGACGGAACGCAAATCAACGGTCAATTTTGATTTAAAGCTTTCGTGACTGCAGGGATTCATATTATTGGTTCTTTCGGTAAAGTCACGTAGAAGGGAAACAATGAAATAATAAAATATAAAACAATTAAATTCTCACGACGTTTCGACTGCAACACAAGCAATCATCATCAGGTGTGAAAACCACAGCAAGAAAATTTGAAAAAAGTTGCGTTTTTTTACGTTAGCACCACGGAGAGCGATTATGGTTCAATGAGCCACTCTGTCTACAGGAAAGCTACCCATACGGATGCTTACCTGAAACCGGATTCCCACCACTACCCATCCCAGAAGAATTCCCTCATCAAGACTCTGCACCATAGAGCCCAATGCATATACGACCAGGAACACATAACCAGTGAACTCAAGCACGTACACCAAGCTCTTAAGGATAATGGTTACTCCGACTACACAATCCGCAAAGCTATCACTCCAACCATGAAGAAGGACCCTCTTGAGGAGCCTTTCAAAACCATCACCTTACCTTACATTGCGGGGATCACAAAAAAGATCTCCAAAATCTTGAATAAACACACGATCCAGGTCCAATTCCACACATTACATAAAATCCGTGATCTGGTTCCGTCTGTAAAAGATGTGATTCCGGACATACAGTACCCTGGCGTCTACAAACTAAGTTGCCTCTGTGGTAGTAGTTACATTGGAGAAACCAAACGACATGTCTCGGACCGCATTCGTGAACAAAAAGCAGACCTAAAACACGGTAGGACCAACACCTCGGCCGTGACAGTTCACTGTTATAATTCAGTAGGTTCACATGGCATTGACTTCTCCAAGACAGAGGTTCTTTGCAAGCCATCTGGCTACCATGAGAGATTCGTTCATGAGGCTATCCACATATACAAACACAGAGACAATTTTAACCGAGAAGATGGATTCTGGCTTAGCAATCATTGGTAGGATTTGATAAACCATTTCGGGTCTTAATTGATTGTTCACGCTTACGGTGGCTTTCAGACCGCATCCATTATTTTCGTCTTCCCCCTCCTCTTTTCCGAACATAGATGGACTCGTTTATTTGAATAACTGCCAAATCGCTGTCCGTGGTGCTAACGTTAAAAAAACGCCACTTTTTGCAAATTTGCTTGCTGTGGTTTTCACACCTGATGATGATTGCTTGTGTTGCTGTCGAAACGTCGTGAGAATTTTATTGTTTTATATTTTTATTATTTTATTGTTTCCCTTCTACGTGAGTTTACCGAAAGAACCAAGAATATCAACGGTCAATGTTGACCTTTTTTTAATCAAGTCTCAGTCGACTGAATAAACCTCGAATCGCGTCAAACTTGGCGACGGAGAGTCAATTACAGACTCCGTAAACATATTTTGCTGATTCAATTTTTATTTTTATTTCACGAGATCCGGTGTGGTCTGTTATGCTGCACACGATGTGCCGCCAATACGTCCAAGTAGCTCAAGCAGCCCCGTGTGTGACGCCCCCGTTGTGTCTCCCCGCCACTCCAGCTGGGTGTTTCTGACCGAGAAGGCCTACCAGACGGCCGAGGGGGTCAAGGAGGTCTCCGTCATCTCAAAGGTCAAGGGGGTCACTGCGACCAACGGTAGCGACCTGAGGGCGCGCGTGTGGGACGTGGCCGAGTACGTGATGCCCCCACAGGTGAGCGGCAGCGGTGCGCACGTAGGTGAGGGTTACAGGTGTGTGGACAAGGTGGAGGGGATGTGTGGGCAGGTGAGAGGTGGTTGTGATGGGGTTGCAGAGAAGATGAGGTGAGTGAAACGGGTGAGTGGACAGGTGAGTGGACAGGTGGAGGGGGTGTGTGGATAGTTGAGGTCAGTGGACAGGTGAAGTGTCAGTGAAGGTGCTCTATAAATATAAAATTAGATGAGATGAGATGTAAATAAATACAAGTTTCAACACTACAAACTTAAAAATATATGTTTAACATTCATAGTATACAACCAATCGCGCAGTTTTACTGAATCCCCCCGTATCCCCCGTGTCTCACAATGTGCCCCATGTCCCCCCGTGCCCCCCAATCTCCCCCCAATGCCCCCATGTCCCCCCCATATCCCCCCATGTCCGCCTTTGTTCCCTCCCCCCATGTCCCCCCATGGCCCCCCTCATGCTCCCCAATATCTCTCCAATGCCCCCCCTCCCCCCGCTGCGCAGGGCACGGACAGTTTTGTGATCATCACCAACGTCCTCGAGACGCCCATGCAGTCGCTCGGAGTGTGTGCCGAGGTGAGTGAGGAGTGGTGAGTGAGGAGTGGTGAGTGAGGAGTGGTGAGTGAGGAGTGGTGAGTGAGGGGTGGTGAGTGAGGAGTGGTGAGTGGTGAGTGAGGAGTGGTGAGTGAGCAGTGGTGAGTGAGGAGTGGTGAGTGAGGAGTGGTGAGTGAGGAGTGGTGAGTGAGGGGTGGTGAGTGAGGAGTGGTGAGTGAGGAGTGGTGAGTGAGGGGTGGTGAGTGAGGAGTGGTGAGTGAGGGGTGGTGAGTGAGGAGTGGTGAGTGAGGAGTGGTGAGTGAGGAGTGGTGAGTGAGCAGTGTGCCCCCGTTCGAGTGAGGAGTGTGCTCCGAGGTGAGAGAGATCCATAGACTCGCATAGAGATCCATAGACTCGCATAGAGATCCATAGACTCGCATAGAGATCCATAGACTCGCATAGAGATCCATAGACTCGCATAGAGATCCATAGACTCGCATAGAGATCCATAGACTCGCATAGAGATCCATAGACTCGCATAGAGATCCATAGACTCGCATAGAGATCCATAGACTCGCATAGAGATCCATAGACTCGCATAGAGATCCATAGACTCGCATAGAGATCCATAGACTCGCATAGAGATCCATAGACTCGCATAGAGATCCATAGACTCGCATAGAGATCCATAGACTCGCATAGAGATCCATAGACTCGCATAGAGATCCATAGACTCGCATAGAGATCCATAGACTCGCATAGAGATCCATAGACTCGCATAGAGATCCATAGACTCGCATAGAGATCCATAGACTCGCATAGAGATCCATAGACTCGCATAGAGATCCATAGACTCGCATAGAGATCCATAGACTCGCATAGAGATCCATAGACTCGCATAGAGATCCATAGACTCGCATAGAGATCCATAGACTCGCATAGAGATCCATAGACTCGCATAGAGATCCATAGACTCGCATAGAGATCCATAGACTCGCATAGAGATCCATAGACTCGCATAGAGATCCATAGACTCGCATAGAGATCCATAGACTCGCATAGAGATCCATAGACTCGCATAGAGATCCATAGACTCGCATAGAGATCCATAGACTCGCATAGAGATCCATAGACTCGCATAGAGATCCATAGACTCGCATAGAGATCCATAGACTCGCATAGAGATCCATAGACTCGCATAGAGATCCATAGACTCGCATAGAGATCCATAGACTCGCATAGAGATCCATAGACTCGCATAGAGATCCATAGACTCGCATAGAGATCCATAGACTCGCATAGAGATCCATAGACTCGCATAGAGATCCATAGACTCGCATAGAGATCCATAGACTCGCATAGAGATCCATAGACTCGCATAGAGATCCATAGACTCGCATAGAGATCCATAGACTCGCATAGAGATCCATAGACTCGCATAGAGATCCATAGACTCGCATAGAGATCCATAGACTCGCATAGAGATCCATAGACTCGCATAGAGATCCATAGACTCGCATAGAGATCCATAGACTCGCATAGAGATCCATAGACTCGCATAGAGATCCATAGACTCGCATAGAGATCCATCGACTCGCATAGAGATCCATAGACTCGCATAGAGATCCATAGACTCGCATAGAGATCCATAGACTCGCATAGAGATCCATAGACTCGCATAGAGGTCCATAGACTCGCATAGAGATCCATAGACTCGCATAGAGATCCATAGACTCGCATAGAGGTCCATAGACTCGCATAGAGATCCATAGACTCGCATAGAGATCCATAGACTCGCATAGAGATCCATAGACTCGCATAGAGATCCATAGACTCGCATAGAGATCCATAGACTCGCATAGAGATCCATAGACTCGCATAGAGATCCATAGACTCGCATAGAGATCCATAGACTCGCATAGAGATCCATAGACTCGCATAGAGATCCATAGACTCGCATAGAGATCCATAGACTCGCATAGAGATCCATAGACTCGCATAGAGATACATCGACTCGCATAGAGATCCATAGACTCGCATAGAGATACATAGACTCGCATAGAGATACATAGACTCGCATAGAGATCCATAGACTCGCATAGAGATCCATAGACTCGCATAGAGATCCATAGACTCGCATAGAGATCCATAGACTCGCATAGAGATCCATAGACTCGCATAGAGATCCATAGACTCGCATAGAGATCCATAGACTCGCATAGAGATCCATAGACTCGCATAGAGATCCATAGACTCGCATAGAGATCCATAGACTCGCATAGAGGTCCATAGACTCGCATAGAGATCCATAGACTCGCATAGAGATCCATAGACTCGCATAGAGGTCCATAGACTCGCATAGAGATCCATAGACTCGCATAGAGATCCATAGACTCGCATAGAGATCCATAGACTCTCATAGAGATCCATAGACTCGCATAGAGATCCATAGACTCGCATAGAGATCCATAGACTCGCATAGAGATCCATAGACTCGCATAGAGATCCATAGACTCGCATAGAGATCCATAGACTCGCATAGAGGTCCATAGACTCACTGGGTGCCAATGTCTCGGTACACATTTGCCAAATCTGACCGTTATTACTCGCAAATTAGATCAAATAAAACACAATGACCACATCATCGCCACCCCCCACCCCTACCGGCAGACTGACTATATCTGTCTGTGGGACATAACGTTTTCGCGACAGCTCCGCACCGTACGAACATCCGCGAATACCAAAACCACCGCCGTCGTGCAGCTCGCTGCCTTTCGAGTTCCAACAAAATCATCGACGGAATCCGCCCGTAATCACGATGTCCCATTGTTACACGACGCCGCCGCCGCTGCCACACAGCGTTCGCTCGCTCTCGTAGACAGGTAATTTACGTTTAGCTATTCGTACGCGCAATATTTAACGGGAAATACGTGGGGGAATAGAATGGGAGGTGGGAGCGGTGTTGCAGTGGTTCACGCATCGTGCTGTGACCTATAGGGGACCTGAGTTTGTTTTGATGTCACCAGGTAAGGCCCACACTGAGCTATTGTAGCTCTTTTTTTTCCGAAGCGACTTGGCCGTAACAAATGATAGCTCAACGAAGTGGCTTATCATCGTGTGGGAATTTATAGCAGCCGAATACTCTAAACGCGTGATGTTGATTCTAAATGTGGAGGGAACAACCGGAGGACCCGGAGAAAAATCCACGCGATCGCGGGGAGAGAGAGAGAAACGCAAATTCCAAATATACAGCAGCAGGCGTCATGGTCGGGATCGAACCCACGACGTCCTGCGTACCAGGCGAGGTAGTTAACATCTCCTAGCCACAGACGAGCGGGGGGAAGGGAGCAACAGCAGTGGCCACGTGGCTTAGCTGGTGCCAACTTCCCCTGCGAGCTCTGCGGTCCTCTCGGCATTAAAGTGTTAACGGCCACATTAATGAGCGTTCACACGCGGGATTAAACGAGATGACCCAGAAGAAGGAAAAAAAACAACAACACCCACACGTGCGAGGATGGACCGGATGGAGTCCGCATTTGCTGTACCGGACTGCACCTCCGATTAGCACCTGTTGGCCACGTACGGTACGAAAGAAGTTCAACTGCACATGCACACTGTAACTCCCGGTGAGCCAGCGTTATGGCTCCTCCTGGACGCTCGCCGATTGATAGCAAAGGGAGTCGCGGAACAACCGCAGCGTGGTCCACCAACCCTCGCTGCTGCCTCCACAGTGCTGGACTCGAGTAAGCCACGCGCACCACGGGCACCGCCGCCCGTCAAAATCGTTTGGCGGTCGGCGCGATGGATGACAGATGTGATTGTGACGGAGGAGCCGAGAGCGTGGAACCCTTCGCATTCCTTGCGCACTATCTAACACTCAATCTACAAGCGCATTGTGCTCACACCAGCGGCCTCTGGAATGGTGGGACGAGCGGGCGGTGTGTTGGGGGGTGACGATGGTGGCAGTGGTGGTATAAGTGACGGTGGTGATGGGAATGGGGGTGCGGAGGTGATGTGATGGTGGTGGTAGCAGTGGTTTGGGTCATGACGACGATGATGATGATGATGGTGGTGGAAGTGGTGGTCGTATGGGTGATGATGGTGGTGCAGGTGACGGGTCGCGGTGGTGTGGGTGATGGTCGTGGTAGTATGGGTGATGATGATGATGGTGGTGGAGGTGACGGTGGGGAGGAGTAGTGTAGTGGTGAGCGCTACGCTGCACTACCAACCCAGCGACACGAGTTCGATTACCGCTCACGGCCAACTCCAGTACCGATTATCTGAACCGGTCATGGGCCTCCCCTGTGTCGACTCAGCCTCAAATGAGTACATGGTGCTGTGTGTAAATATCCCCACGAGGGAGACAAAGGCGGCCGGGCGTGGTGCTGGCCACCCCACCCCCTTAGGTGCCCCAAAAAGTCAGTTAAAGGCCAGACGGGGAATCTTTGTCTTTTGGAGGTGACGGTCGCGGTGGTGTGGTTAATGATGGTGGTGGAGGTTGGGAGGACAACGATGATAGTGATGATGGTGGTGATGATGATGATGATGGTCGTGGTTGTGATGATGATGGTGGTTGTGATGATGATGGTGGTTGTGATGATGATGATGGTGGCGCTGTTGACGACACGATTAACGACGCTGACTTAAGCGACGACTGCGCTGTTTACATCGCTCCTGCGAGCACCGATGGTGACCCTGTGCGCTTCTGGCTCCCGTCCGTAACGACTGCAAGCAACAGAGCTCGGCTTAGGAAGGCAATTAGCGACGGGAAGCGCCCTGGGGGGAGGGGGAGTGGCGTGCGTGAGCGGTCGAGATGGTTCGGGAGAGAGAATTCAGAGCGAAGGAGGAGGATTAGGGTGGAGGGTTGCAATTACGCGAGGAAGTCATCCTGGGGAGGAAGATGTGATGATGATGGGGGGGGGGGCTGTCCAGGGGATAGGGGGATCAGTGGTATGGGGAACAGGGCGTGGTGGAGGGTGGGTGGGTGGGGGGTTACAATGATGGAACTGTCGATGCTAACGCCGTTTAAAACCTCTCACTGAGCAATCAATCGCGTTCGTGAATTCCAATGCCTCCGATATCGCGCGCGCGTGGCGTCTGCCGGGCTGATACGGGTGGGGGGGGGACGCTATTCGTTACGGGCCAATTTGCGGCGTCTGTTTACCATCACCCGATACCCCCCCAGCGAGGAAGTTGGGGTAGAGGGGGGGCACCTGAACGACCGCCCCCCCACACCACCACCCTACCCTCGCCGTGTGTTGGTGTTGCTGTTAGTCCGTGTGTGCAAACTTACAACGCGAGGCGGATCGCATATCCGACGCCGCGTGACTTCCCTGCAGTCACTCAATCGCGCAAGGGGGAATTCATTAATGCTCGTCTGTTGTGTGCGAGTCGAGTCAAATATCATTCATCATCGTGATAATAATATTATTATTATTATACAAAACACTCACTCGGTTAAATCTTGACTTAAAGCTTTCGTGACTGCAGGAATTCATATTCTTTGGGTCTTTCGGTGAAGCCACGTAGACATACAAAAAATAGTCCCCTTTTCCTGATGACGACCGCTTGTGTTGCGATCGAAACGTCGATATTTTTGGTTATTTTTTTTTCTGTCTACGTGGCTTTACCGAAAGACCCAAAGAATACTCACTCGGTCTCGAGACTCTTGGGTTTGTTTTTTTGTTTGCACATGGGTGAGATGTTTGGTCCATTGTTCGTGGGTTGGTGGGTGGGTGGGTTGGTGGGTGGGTGGTTGGGTGTTAAGGTGGGAGGCCAGGTGGGGTGGGTATGAATGTGGTAGAAGTATATATGGTGGCTGACTAGGTAGGTTACAGGACAGAGAGGTGGGTAAATATTAACGTAAGTAGGCCGACATGTAAGTAGATGTTTTGGTATACTGTACTGTATATATGTGTAGATAGCTGGATGGGTTGGTGGTAGGGGTGTGGGTAATAGTGAAAGGTTCATGTATATATATTTATATTTTTAATAACCAGGGGAGATATCTAGAAACCAGAATGAGTCGTATTAGTACCGTGCCGGCCTTCATAGGTGCTGCTACTCGCTAACAGCACTTGCCCCAACAGTCTGTCAAGCCTATGCGGGGGGATCTTTTTATTTGTATTTACGTAAATCTAAGTGGCTGAGTTGGTATATGTACGGGTAGCTGGCTGGCTAGCTAAGGAGGGTGGCCGGATGCTTATACGGTGGTCGCAGTGCCTTTAAGCCACTTAAATATCTGTCCGCCACATTCATACCCACCCACCTCCCCAATCACCTGAACCTCTCACCTACCCATCATGCCACCCACAATTGGCCAAACATCCCAAATGCAACTGGAGTCCTGTGACATTTTTTCCTTCTTAAAACTCTTTGTGACTGTTTATTAGTCATCATAATATTTATAAATATTTCATTTCCTCGGGCAAAACCGATGGGCGATCGGCTTCGGGTCGAGGATTTCCTCTGGCGAGCCCCCGAGAGAAAACCTCCACCACGCATGCGACGGAGCAGCACGTAACGCTCCGCACAGATGGATTCAACAATCCATCGCCGTATCGCCAGCGAAGTGTCGACCCCACAGCCCACGCCGGGCAAACACGAGTGCGCCATCCGAATCATAACCGGGTTCAGATCCGGGTTAGCTTCCGAGAATTTGTCGAGATTGCTTCGGTCGGAGGTAAATGGCGTTGGCCAGGCGATCTCCGTTGCAGGACCCTCCTCGCAGGTCTCGGCTCGAGACCCTCGCATTCAGTCGTACGCTTGACTCCCAAGTGTCTCTTTTAATTTATCACACGCGGCACTATCGACGGGGCATAACGTAGCACGTGCTACCATCACAGTGGTAGCAAAGAATAATGAACGTCTCCCGTGTCGTGCCGACAACTGTCAACATAGTTACACACTTTTATATATATACAGGGAGCTTCAAAAACATGTTGAGACTTCTGAGAATTTGCAACAATGCCACAAGAAACGTGCAGCCTCCGGCCTCTGGAGACCACCTGGAGAAGATTCCAGGCACGCGTTGACAATGATGGTGAACAAGTGGAGACTCTGACTTTTTGAAGCTTACTAAGATTACATTTCATATGAATAATATTGGTCGCGAAAGCCTACGTGTTAAAAAGATTACATTTGTTATCATGTTCCAGTGTGTTATTATCCATTCTTTTTCCATTAAAAACGATAGTCCCATATAAGTGTGAACATTTTTTTGTAGCACCCTGTAATATACACTTGACTCTCTGGCAAAGCTGACGGGTTCGCTTTGGCTCGTTGGTCTTGTGCCAGCTCGGCTACCCCTGGACCCACTGTGTGAGTCGTGGCCCAGAATTAAACCGAGGCGGCCCGGCTTTAAAGCGCAGCCTACGACGAACCACGCCCCCCCCCCCCCCGCACGACTCCCACCCATCCCCACCACCCCGGTCGATGTCTACAGTCTCCTAGGTAGACTCTGACTTAAACGAGTCCCTGGTGAGACGTGGAAACAGCAGCACTTAAGAAGAGAAAGGCGATCGGGTGTGTAGCTGACCCCCCCCCACCCACCGCGCTAAGTCGACTCAACCCTAAAAGAGTACCTGGTGTGGTGTGTAAACATTAGCACTGGGGAGACAAAGGCAGCCGGGCAGGCGTGGTGGCCACCAACCCCATCGTGTGATGTGCCCGCTGTTCAGAGGTGCACGCTAACCCAACTTGCCCCAAAACGTGTGTTAAGGCTATATGGGGGGGTCTTTGTCTTTGTGTGTTGTTTATGGACAGGACCTCGACACTCCCACGGCTCCGTGTTCCAACGACACAGGCTGCCTACCAGGGGAACGAGACCAACTCTACAATGGTATGGCTAGGGGCATGGCTGGGGGCATGGCCAGGGTGGCATGGCTAGGGGCATGGCCTGGGGCATGGCCGGGGGCATGGCGGGGGCATGGCCAGGGGCATGGCCGGGGGCATGGCGGGGGCATGGCCAGGGGTATGGCCAGGGGCATGGCGGGGGCATGGATAGGGGCATGGCGGGGGCATGGCTAGGGGCATGGCGGGGGCATGGCGGGGGCATGGCCAGGGGCATGGCTGGGGGTATGGCCAGGGGCATGGCCTGGGGCATGGCCGGAGGCATGGCTATGGGTATGGCGGGGGCATGGCTATGGATATGGCGGGGGCATGGCTAGGGGCATTGCCAGGTGCCCGGGCCATGGCCAGGGGTACGGCTGGGGGCATGGCTAGGGCCATGGCCAACTAAGGGTCCTAGTCGCAAATACGACTCATCCTGGTCTCTGGATTTCTCACCTGGTTATTTACATAAAGTATTTATGAACGTACTGTAAACCTCTCACTATTATCCACACCCCTACCACCAAACCATCCAGCTATCTATACATATATACAGTACAGTATACCAATACATCCACTTAAATGTCGACCTACCTATGTTAATATTTACCCACCTCTCTGCCCTGCAACCTACCTAGCCAGCCACCAACACAATACACCCATTCACATCCAGCCACCTAATATCTACCCGCCCGCACCCATGCCCACTGAACGTCCCATCCATACGCATACCCATCCACATACCGACTTACAACCCACATTCACATTTCACGCCGACCCACCGAATTTTAAACCAGTCACCCACCTACTCACACACGCACCTAACCATTAATTCACCTAACGTACCCACTCACCCACACCGACCCACCGATCCACCCAGCTACCAACCCACACTCATACCCACTCCCTTGTCGACTCACTTACCCAGCCATCTACCCATCCACTCACCTGCCCACATAACCACTTTGCACAAGAGCGCAGAAGTGTGGTTACCACATCTACGCCTCTATATAAGGAACGAAACAAGGTGGACTTCTCCACGAATCTGGCTGTCGCCTGATGAAGCTAGTTGTAATTACTGGCGAAACGTCGTACTCAGTTTGCAAATGTTGTGGCTTGGCTCTCCAACACACCGGTGCGCTGTACTAGCGACGAATTGGCACGTTCTGTTTACGTGACAAACCTTACTAGTTGGCTATGTCGGGATGTGGCGGGTTTTAACGACGCATTTATATATTTACGCGATCTATGGATAACCACCTGCCCTGCTCCCCCCCTGCCCTGCCGCCCCCCTGCCCCCAGGAGTGAAGACGGGCCGCTGCTCGCACGACAGGAAGCCGCGCACGTGCGAGGTGTTCGCCTGGTGCCCCGTGGAGTCCGAGGGACGCCACGCCAAGTATGGGCGCGCAGAGAGATCCGCGGAAGCCCCAGAAATCCGCGGAAGCCTCGGAGCCCATTGCGCGCACGCGACGCCGTTATAATACGACATTTATTAATTTATACACATACAGGATGAATGTATCGATACACACGACATTGAAGTAAATATGCTTTATTGTAGATGTGTATCTAATGGAAATGTAACGATTAATATACAGGGTGCTTAAAATAGTTTTTAACGCTTATGATAATTTGCAACAATCCCACAAGACACGTTCTGCCGCCTCAGGGCTCTGGAGCCCACCTGGGGAAGATTCCAGGCACGTGGTGACAATGATGGCGAACAAGTGGAGACTCTTTGACTTTGTAAAGCTATTAAAAACATTTGTTATAACGTTAAAGTGTATTATCCGTTCTCTTTCTATAAAAAAAACGATAGTCCCATATACGTGTTAACAATTTTTTGAAGCACCCTGTACGTGTAAATATTGTTGGTCTCATTGTGTGACTACAAGCATTGAAGCGCTTTCCTTTTTGATTTGCGGCTTCATTCAATGAGCCCGATCACGTGACCCCCCCTCCCCAACAATTTAATTCTCTCCCCCCTCGCCCTCCCCCTTCTTTACCCCCCCCCACTACCACCTGCACACAGGTACACCCTCCTGGCTGAGGCCGAGAACTTCACCATCTTCATCAAGAACAACATTCGCTTCCCCAAGTTCAACTTCTCCAAGTGAGTTCCCGACGCCGGCAGCCGAGACGAACTTCGGTGACGTGGAAATGGGGGGCCAACTTGAGAGGAGAGCTCCATTACCGTCGGATCCGTCCGGTGCTGCGTGTGAGAGGAGAAGCGGAGTCACCCGGAGAGTAGCCGTCGGGCTATGCGAGGAGGCGAGCGAAATCTCACGCAGGCGTTCGCGTTATCCGTAGAATGGCCACCCCATAGCCTCGAGAACGGCAACACCCCCCGCATTCTCCGACGCGGCCTCCAATCCGAGTGCTTGACCGCGTTCACTCCAACTCAACTCTCCACATGTGGCTCACTCGCGTCCCTTTTCCGAACTCCACCGCGTGAGCAATGCCCTTACCGTACGCGACGCATTTGCATGCACGATGCATTGACATCAGCTACTGCTGCTGCTGTTGTTCAATCAATAAAGCCCACTGACCCATTGACCTTAAGGGGAATGAGTTCACAATCAGGCCAGGGTCCTATCGTGATCAAACCCTTAGCTGCCACTGCTATTCAGTGGCCTGAAATGAATGTTTCGCTCCGGATGACCGCTGCAAAGTATTATCTTGTGTTTTGATTATAGTGTGCTGATCTATAAAGGTGCATTGAAAAATGTTGATACTCCTACTGATACTCCTGCTGTTGTGGAGTGACTCATGCAGCCAGCTATGGCTGCAAAGTTTGGTAGTACATGTTATGTATATCGTTTATTGTAAAATTTCAATCACAGTTCCTATGATCACTGTTACATTGCTTTTATAGCTTTATTTTGGTGATTTCGAAAACGTTTTGGTTTAGCCATATTTGTTTATTGTAGTACAGAGTTAGACTGATAACTTGAATCTAAATTGTCTTATGGTTATTATTTGGCTTGCATCCCACTGGGATTTTTGCACACAGCATTGATATACGGTGTTTTTTCTGGAAGACTTTGCTGTTTTTTCCAGGATTTTTTTCTGTTTGCGCGTAGTAACTTTAATATGTTTCTTGTTCCTGTTTTTGTTTGTTGTGGTTGCACCCGATTCAAGAGCCGAATGGCTCACAGGGCTATACCAAATAAATGAACCTGAAACTGAAACGTACACACAAGACATAGACGCAGGCCCCTTGCATAGCCTTCACAGACGGTTGGAGCAAGTGCTGTTAGCGAGGAGGGGGTGGAGGATCTTCCACGTCCCAGTCGCCAAAAACGTCACCAACCCCAGCGCCCAAAACACCACAACGCTTAGACCGGACTGAAATCACAGAACAACGTCGAGATGAGAACTCGTCCACAATGGTTACATTGGAGGGGGGAATGGGGGGCGGGAAGGGGGGCAGGTTGCATGTGGTGGGGTAGAGTGTGGGTGCTCCCACCCTCCCTGATCCCCGCGGTGTCGGCTGGGGTGCAGGGGCAACCTGCCACAAAACATGCCCAAGACCTACCTCCAGTCGTGCAAGCACGACGCGCGGCGCAACAACTACTGCCCCATCTTCCGCCTGGGTGACATGTTGAAGAGGGCTGGCCTCACCTACCAGAATTTCTCAAAAAAGGTTCAGTCCCCAGCGCGCGCCCACACACACACACGCACATGCGGGGACGCACACATACAGAGTACTCATTTACTAGGCCCGGTGCTGATACAACTTGTCACTGATGGTAGCCTATTGGCTTGGAATCGAACTCGGGTTCCGTAGGGTTCGCAGTGTAGTGCACGAACCGCTGAGCCACCGCTCGAACTTACACAATCGCACACACACACAAACACACGTGCACAGACAAACATGTGAACATGCAAAGGACAGCCTTCAGACGGTTGGGGAAAGTTCTGTTGGCCGGTTCAGCACACGGGGGTGGGATGGGGTGGCCAACACCAATCCCGGCCGCCTTTGTTTCCCCAGTGCTGATGTTTACGCACCGGCATCAGGCACCAATTTAAGGCTAAATCGACCTAGGGGAGGCTGAGGTCCGATTCACATGTTAACCGTTATTATTGATCTTGAGTTGGAATCAGACTTGGGTCGCCGGGTTCGTAGCGTAGTGCTAATCGCGACACTACCGCTCCCCACACACAGACACACACAGACACACACGTGCGCGTCTCTCGCGCGCCGTGTTAGTGTTAACTTGCCAAATGCGAGCACGTTCGTGACGATTTTTTGTTCCCAAAAAAACGCTTCGGGCCACTGAACCACATCAGAAGCTGGGAAGGGAAATTGCCCGAATCGTTTGGCAGCGCCGTAAATGTGCCCAGCTGCTCAATTGGTCACGAGAGGCCGCATTCATTCCATGGCCGACTGCCAGAGCATTCGAAACAACATCGGTGTTTACGTACACAGCAGTACACAAACAAAGGGGGTGACCCTCGTTATAATTCATTGCCTTGCACCACATGTTTAAAATATCTTGAACCGGTAGAACATTTTTTGTGGTTTCATGGCAATGCCATCGTGGCGCTTTCAGATGCGCATCGGCGGCCGTCTGGAATGGACATCTGTGAAAAAGAGCTTCAAAGCTCATCGGGAGTCCGCCAGTCTAAACGCATTTTCTGATTCTTCCTTCCGATATTAGGAAGCCCACACGTGGAAATCATCTCGGCTGACAACTCATTTCTTTAGAACTGCTTTCTTTCGCGCGTGTTAGCTTGTTGTCGCTCGCCCGCGCCTCCGGTTAGCGCCGTTGGCTACGTACGGCGCGAAAGAAGTTCAACGCACACGCACACACACACACGGTGCACACACACGCACACACGCACACGCGCACATACACACACTACATACACACTACACACACACACGCACACATACACACGGTGCACACACACACGCACACACACACAAACGCACACACACACGCACGGTACACACACGCACACACAGACAGACACACACACACACACACGCACACACACGCACACACGCTGCACACACACACACGCACACACACACAGACACACGTACACACACACACGCACACGCACGGTGCGCACACACATACACACACACACGGTGCACACACACACACACGCACACACGGTGCACATACACATACACGCACGCACACACGGTGCACACACACATACACACACACACGCACACAAGGCGCACACACACACACACACGGTGCATACACACATACACACACGCACACACACGGTGCACACACATACACACACACGCACACATGCACACATGCACACACACATGCACACACACATACACACACATACACACACGCACACACAATGCATTTGTTTTTCAACGCAGTGCCCCATCCCTAGACATCGACTCGAAGTCCACCCGGCACCAGAGCCCGCGCCTCTCCCCGGCTGTGAACATTTCGGCCGCGTGGTGTAAGCACCAGCGACAGCTCCCCCGGAGCAGATCCACTGCCCGGAGAGAGACTGAAATAGCCCCACGACACCCGGTGGCTGTTGACGGAATTCTGTTGATCACCCGTGTAATCAAATAGTAATGCGCGATTTTATTGAGGGACTGCGTTGTTGTTGTTTTCGCGTGGCCTTGGCACTGATCTTGGTGTTTGTGCTGCTTTGCCAAAGCTTGCACTTAGCTTTGAACACTCGTCAGGAGTGTATGCACTAATGCAATTTGGTACTTATGTATACGTTACCTATGTTTTTTGTATTTATTTAAAATTGCTTGCCTACCATTTCTCTATTATGTACTCAAATCGGTTGTTGTTGTTTTGTAACTGGTGTACCCGCCCCGGCTGGGACACCTGTGAAAATAGAGCTTCATAGCTCATCGGATTTCTCCAGGATAAAAAAAGCGTCTGATGATGATGATATTTTCACTCCGCCTGACTTCCGAGCTGCGTAACCCAGGCCAGCCGGCCAGCTCCACGAAGCGAAATCGGCTCCAGAGAATTCGAGTCGCATAGCCACGGTTCACGGCCCACTTGCTGACCTGGGACATCTCTGGAAGAAAAAAAAGAGTTCCATAGCTCATCGGATTTCTCCTCCTGCGGTCGAAATCAAGATTCTGATTCTGAGTCGAGAGAACACCGTGGGTAGACCACGCGCTGCCGGCACGGCAAACTCGAGTTCGTATGTGTGTATGTATGTATGTTGAACTTCTTCAGCGCCGTACTTAGCCAACCGTGCTAATCGGAGGCGCGCAGTTCACACTCGACTCGTGTGGCATTGACCGCGGTGACCTTTTTGACCCGAACGTCTAAGCTGTATGTGTGCGGGGTGTGTGTGTGTGTGTGGTGTGTGTGTTTTGGGTGCGTGCTTCTGCAGGGCGGGGTGCTGGGAGTTCTAATCAGCTGGACGTGCGACCTGGATCGCGGCGCGGACTCCTGCAACCCCGTGTACTCATTCAGACGCCTCGACAATGGGGCGGGCTACAACTTCAGGTGCACTCCCTCCCATCCCATTCCCTCCCCTCACCTCCCATCCCCTCCTCTCCCCTCCCATCCCCTCCCATCCCATCCCCCCATCCCCTCCCATCCCATCCCCCCCTCCCATCCCCTCCCATCCCATCCCCTCCCATCCCATCCCATCCCCCCATCCCCTCCCATCCCATCCCCCCCTCCCATCCCATCCCATCCCATCCCATCCCATCCCATCCCATCCCCTCCCATCCCATCCCCCCCTCCCATCCCCTCCCATCCCATCCCCCCATCCCCTCCCATCCCATCCCCCCATCCCCTCCCTCCCCTGCTCCCATCCCCCTCTCTGCTCCCCTCCCTCCCTCCGTTCCCCCCCCCCCCCCCCGCTCATTTCCAAACACAACCACATCCTCTTAAGCTAAACGATGAATTACTTTTGTTTTACCAGGTAAAGCCCACTGACTTATAGAGCTCTTTTTCAGAAGCGACCTGACCACAAATGATTGCTCAACGGAGTGGCTTATCATCGTGTGTAAATCTATAGAAGCCAAATATTTGAAACGCGTGTTGACTGTAAATGTGGAGGGAAAGACCGGAGGACCCGGAGAAAAATCCACACGACAACGGGGAGAGAGACACCACAAATTTCAAATATACAGCAGGCGTCAGGGTCGGCATCGAACCCACGACATCCTGTATACCAGGCGAGGGAGTTAACATCTCGCCACCGATTCACCGATTAATATAGATTATGTGTTCACCATCTGATTGTGATTCAATCAATCAAGGCTTTATTTCTATAGCACTATTTCGTGCAAAAGATGCAATTCAAAGTGCTGTTGAGATAAAATAAAACATTGTTAAACGACTGAATCGCAAGAACAATAAAAGCAATTTCCATACAAAACTAAATTCCACAGTAATAAATTACTATGGAAGGCATATTAAAAAAACACGAAAAAATAATCTTAAGTGAAAGCAAGTTTAAAAAGGTAAGTTTTTAAAAAAAATTTAACTTAAAATTGGAGTTTGAATGGACTACGACGATGATGACGACATGCAAATTACATGCAAATCTTGTGCAACATCTGTCGGTGCGGGGATGCCGACGCCGCGCGGAGCAGGTACGCGCGCTACCACGTGCTCCCCGGCGGCGTTGAGGCGCGCACGCTCGTCAAGGCGTACGGCATCCGCGTGGACATCGTCGTCTCCGGAGAGGTGTGTGCTGCTCCCACCCCTCCATCTCCCACACCCCGTCTCTCTCTCTCTCTCTCTCCCCCCTGATCCCATGGTTCCAATCCATGTGTTCTCTCACCGCGCACTCGTTCCTCTGCCCCCCTCCCCCACCCCCGTCTCCCTCCGTCTACCAACGTCTCCCACCCCGTTATATTTATCCCCCATCTTGCACCACGCGTTACCCCACCTCCTGTCTCGCACTCACGTCAACCCTCGCGCATTCTCCCACGCTCTGTCTCCCGCCCACGAATCATCGACATCATCAGCATCATCATTACCCATGGGCAGATAGCCCGCAGGTGCCCACTGCACATTTCGTAAAAAAAAAAAAATGCACCACCTTCTGTTGTTTTTTTAACCTTTCTGAAATAAAAAAAAACAAATCACCAGCCACATCACCTCTTCTAAAAACCTTTCCGCAGTACGGGCCGCAGGTGGCGATGCCGTCGTACGTTCGGCTGTAAAGGCAGACGCGAGTCCAGAGGCCGTCATCTCTCATCATGTTGCTCCACGCCCGTGGCTCTGTGTCCCGGCCTGTGCCTCGCAACATGAAATATCATCTTCATCATAACCCTGCCCCTAATTTACTTTATTTTTAAACTATTTATATTTTATTTTACCAGTTAAGGCCCACTGAGCTATGTAGCTCTTTTTTCAGAAGCGACCTGGAAATCGCAAATGATAGCTCAGGTTAAGTGGCTTACCATGTTGACATTTATATCAGCCAAATACTCTAAACGCGTGATGTTGATTATAAATGTGGAGGGGGAAAACCGGAGGACCCGGAGAAAAATCGACGCGACCACGGGGAGAGAGAGAGAGAGAGGGAGACGCGAACTCCACATTAAGAGCGGGAGTCAGGGCCGACATGGAACCCACGACCTCGTGCATACCAGGCGAGGGAGATAACATCTCACCACCGCGGCGCCCTTAATGCGTTCCTCTCCCGCCCCCCTTTACCCCTCCCCCTCCCTGCCCCCCCCCCCCCAGGCGCGCAAATTCTACATCATCCCCACCATCATCAACCTCGCCGCCGCTCTGACCTCTGTCGGGGTGGTGAGTTCTGACAGCACCGTCGCGCTGCAATAAAGGCGCAGCCCTGCAAGTGCAGGTGGAAGGGTGGAATGTAGTCCACTCGAGAAGGGTATTTTTGGCCTCACCATCATATCTACGATGGCCAGGACGTCTTGGGAAGCGGTGCTAGGACCCACACTTTATATCCCAACACCGTCACGCATGACTCTGCCGATCGACTGGTGGTACCCATTTAGACTGGTCTGTGGACATAGCAAGGGGGGGGGCGGGGGGGTTAAGAAACGTGCCCAGTGATATCACCAGCCCGGTCTATCCACAGCTGGATTACGGCCTTCTCGTGCCAAGGCAATACCTCATGATCATCACGGAAAATTACGAATCGGCTTTGAATGGTGACGAATCGATATTGCATGACGTTTCAGAATCAATCATGAAAGATGATGGTGGTGGTGATAGTAAACTATAAACAAAACTATTTAGATTTTACCAGGTAAGGCCCACTGAGCTATATAGCGCTTTTTTCAGAAGTAACCTGGCCACAAATGACATCTCAATGAAGTGGCTTATCACGTGGAAATGTATAGCGGCCAAATGCTCTAAACGCGTGATGTTGATTCTAAATGTGGAGGGGGAAAAACCGGAGGACCCGGAGAAAAAATCCATGCGACCACGGGGAGAACACGCAAACTCCAAATATACAGCAGGCGTCAGGGTCGGGATCGAACCCACGACCTCCTGTATACCGGGCGAAGTCGTTAACATCTCCTAGCCACCGTGGCGCTGATGATGACGACGACGGCGGTTTGGACTATCCGCGCGTGCATGCAGGCCTCGGTGATCTGTGATTGGCTGCTGCTGAACACCATGAGGAGACGCAACATCTACCGCAAGAGCAAGTTCGAGGAGGTGAGCGGCGCTCCGCGCGCGTCCCTCGGGGGGGTCGCCGACACCTCGTGGCGGTCGCGCTGCCCCAAGGGGGCTTTTCCCGGCCTGTCTTTTTCCGGGTCGTGCCGCGAGGTGCTGGGCGCGACGTCCGACGTTTCGCCGCGCGTGCCGAGAGGGGGGGCAGAAGTGAAATACAGCGGGCTCGACGGCGCGTCGCATACGCAGGGAGGAGGGGGGGGGTTGGGGCGGGGCGCGTACCTCCAGGATTAAATACGACGAGGTTTAAGGCCACCTCGTCGATATAACCTCGTTTTGTGTCGGCGCACGTGCTCCACGCAGGTGAACGAGGGCACGGCGCTCAGGGCCGACCTCTCGTCGCTTCCGTCGCGGGAGCTCGCTGGCGGAAAAGCGGACGCGCTCTCCAACGGATTCTCCACGGACGACTCAATGCTGTGAGGAGGGCCGCACCAGCCTCCGGAACGGCCTCCGGACCGGACCGGACCGGTTCTTCATCCGTACGAGAGGAGATGGCCTGCAGGGTGCGGAGTCGTGGACTGGGCGAATTGGGCGCTCGGGTTTTGGCGATTCGCCGAGCGATTGCGATTAAAGAGCAGAGGTTTGAAACGCCGTCAGAGGTCAAGAGGTCAACACGACCGGTGCCGTCAATGTCACCCCACATCCGCCTCCTTCCACCAGATCTCGCATTCGTGGCGAAGGTGACACCCGACCATCGGTGTCAGCTCTTATGGCCTCATCATCATCATCACCATCGCCACTGTCTGGCTTGAGCGCTTGCCATTGATGGCCGACCTCTGAGTGCCAGTCACGTGACCCACCCTCCTCCTCCTCCACCCTGCACAGCACGTGTCTCTTCCTCTCATGGTAACTCCCTCATCCTGATGTCTACAACGCTCCGTGGTCACGCTCTATTAACAGCCTACGAGTTACATTACCCCGCCCTCCACCAATCACGACCACGTTCTATTCACAGCCTACGAGTTACATTACCCCGCCCTCCACCAATCACGACCACGTTCTATTCACAGCCTACGAGTTACATTACCCCGCCCTCCACCAATCACGACCACGCTCTATTCACAGCCTACGAGTTACATTACCCCACCCTCCACCAATCACGACCACGCTCTATTCACAGCCTACGAGTTACATTACCCCACCCTCCACCAATCACGACCACGTTCTATTCACAGCCTACGAGTTACATTACCCCACCCTCCACCAATCACGACCACGCTCTATTCACAGCCTACGAGTTACATTACCCCGCCCTCCACCAATCACGACCACGTTCTATTCACAGCCTACGAGTTACATTACCCCGCCCTCCACCAATCACGACCACGTTCTATTCACAGCCTACGAGTTACATTACCCCGCCCTCCACCAATCACGACCACGTTCTATTCACAGCCTACGAGTTACATTACCCCGCCCACCACCAATCACGACCACGTTCTATTCACAGCCTACGAGTTACATTACCCGCCCTCCACCAATCACGACCACGCTCTATTCACAGCCTACGAGTTACATTACCCTGCCCTCCACCAATCACGACCATGTTCTATTCACAGCCTACGAGTTACATTACCCCGCCCTCCACCAATCACGACCACGCATCCCACCCATCGCATCCTCCTCCTCTTCCGCCACGTTCTACTCCAAACCTCCAAGTTGTCTATCCCCATCCAGCGATTACATTCCCAGCCACATCCACAAACCCGACATCGCCTCGCATTAGCGCGGTTTTGCTACGTACGGTGCGAAAAGAAGTGCAACATGCATACGTGACAGTCGTATAGAACGGGCGGCTCTTCTCTACACCGGGGGAAGTGGGGGCAGGGGGTGTAGAGGAGAGGGGGGGCTCCCCCGTGTCAAAATCTCGGGGGGGGGGGGTTGTAGTCGCCAGCTGTCAGCGACGTCCGTGCAGTTCACGTGTGTCACTCGCGCTGTTCCTGTTCGCTGTACGACGAGCCGCTTTATTCCCAATGTAATCTCGCCTTTGACGAAGACCCAGTGTCCCCCCCCCACCCCCCCACCTCGTCCTGTCCACCAAACCTTATCAAGGCTGTAATGTTTCTACTTTAGACGAAGCTCCGCAGGCATAGCCTTCACAGGCTGTCGGGGCAAGTGCTGTTCGCGAGCACCTATTAAGGCCGGAACGGCACACGATGGGCGTGGGAAAGTGGCGAGTGCCACGCCCGGCAGCCTTCGTCTCTCCAGTGCTCATGTATACACACCGCACCAGGTACTCTGCGGCCGTCTGGAACGCTCTTCCTTCCGATACTAGGAAGCCACTGGAGCTCTGCACTTTTAAATCATCATCTAGATTGAAAACCAACGCTTTTAGAACCGCTTTTCGTGTTTAGTTTGTTGTTCTTCCCCGCACCTCCGATGAACACGGGTTGGCTGCGTACGGTGCAGAGGAAGTTCAACGTTACCTACGTATTTAAGGCCGAGTCAACCTAGAGGGACAAGGCCAAGGAGGGGGTTCAGATATTCGTCGCTGATGCTGACCACGAGCGGGGAATCGAGAGAGCGCTCACCACGAGGTGACGTTACGCGGTAGACACAAGCGAAACGTGAGCTACTGTTAGCGGGAAGGGGTTGATGGAGCTGCCGTGTGGACGACTGGCACGGAGATCAGACGTGGGACTAAAGGCACGGGACATTTGATCTCGCAGTGGATAGAGAATGGGTGATGGCGAGTCCAATTGAAAGCAGTCTACCTGTATTAGCGTGAACTCTCGATGCATCGATCGATTAATTGCTTAAAACAATAATCGATTCGGAATCGAATCGAGACAATTCATCGTAATCAATTAATGTAGCAGCTCCCGGCGCGCCGTTCCGAAACGTCGGACATCGTTGCCGAGCGACGTGAAATCGCCATGCAACAGCACGCACGACCAAGAAAGGCAAACTCGGTACTCGGCTAGTGTTGACGCGTGCGATGTATTTAATCACAACATTATCTGCGTACACGTACCGAGATGCGCTTGCGTTCACCGTAGCTACAAAATGTGTACCTAGCCTGGCACAAGCGCGGTGGTGACGTCACCGCCAATTAGTTGGTGGCGGCGGTGGTAACAATGCGAAGACGGAGGAGGGCAGAGGGCATGGGACGGCTTTGCTGAACGGGTCGCATAGACAGAGGGACGAGGCAATGCGCGCGCGTGTGTGTGTGTAAGTAATATCCACAGTAATAAAGCAGCGCTGTACACGTACAGCCCTTTTGTCGATGCACTGCTGGACGAGAGCCCACTTCACACCACCTTAACGTATTGTTCTAATGTGTATACAATCATCTTGAGATGGGGGGGGGGGTGGTCATAGTTTACGAATTACAATCTCCTACGTCTGCAACTAACACCGTCGTTTTTCAACGAGGGGGCTTAAATGTGTTTTAATTCATTAAATAAATGTCAACCGCTATTTCAGCCGGAGCTGCCCGGTGCTGAGCTCCGGAAAAAAAATTGCGGCGTGGCCACGTGTCCGATGGGGCCCCGCGCGTGCCAGCTTATCGACTGTTGTTGCTCAGGGATAGCGCGTGCCACAGCAAACACCAGTCTGATAAGCTAACGCGCACGAGACACTGACACCAACTCCACTCTACAATCAACTCGAAGCACATTATCATTATTGATCATCGTATTCATCATCATCATTTGTAATCAGGTCATGATGCCGATTGTGACGATGACGATCATCATCATAAGCATGATGATCCTCAGCAGCTGTATCGTAGTCGTCTTCATCAGCATCCGCGACCGGACCGTCGTTCTGTCCTCTGCCCGACTGCGCTCCTGTGTGGGTCACGCGCACGAGACATTGGCACACGTTTAGAGTTCTGTTATATAGCCTCGAGGGTGAGAGCGTGGGTGGGTGGGTGAGAGCGTGGGTGGGTGAGAGCGTGGGTGGGTGGGTGGGTGAGAGCGTGGGTGGGTGGGTGAGAGCGTGGGTGGGTGGGTGAGAGCGTGGGTGGGTGGGTGGGTGAGAGCGTGGGTGGGTGGGTGGGTGAGAGCGTGGGTGGGTGGGTGGGAGCAGCGGTGGCGCAGCGGTGAGCGCACTGCGCTATGAACCGGGTGGGCCCCCTGCCTGAAATCCTAATATCCGAACGGGTCCCGTTCCGGGCCACCAAGTACCCGTCCCGCCTTGGGCAAGCCGCACTGACCAGAGCGGAGAAGTATGGTCAAAACAACATCGCGGTCAAACAATGCGCTGCCGAAGTGCGATTAAAGTCAGACGCGCGTTCCTTTAAAATTTATGTTAATTTCATCCACATTTCTCCACCGACGCCACCGATTTAGCAAGTTTTTCGTAATATTATTCATTGGAGGGTAACATCTAAACATTGTTATTTTTAACCCACGACCTCACACACCCTCCCCCCCGCACCCCACTTTTTTACTGGGCATCTGTGAAAAACAGAGCTTCATAGCTCAGATTCCTTCTGCACGCGGAGAAATGTTCCGATCGTGAAACGTCGGACTCTCCGAATCGATCGCGCGACTGTTCAAACGCACGGCGATTCGACGAATGGTCGCGACTGCGAGGCGCCCTTCGCCGCAATCGAACAATCGATCCATTTGCTGTGCCCCGTGACGCCGCCTCGCGTCGCCGTTACCACCCCGTTACCGAATCCAGGGGAACGCCAAGCGGTGTTCGAGACCCGGACAAGGGCTTGGATCGACCGGCATAAAAGGCGGCGTGAGTCCCCCTCCCCCCTCTCCCTCTTCATCACCTCCCGGCACCTTCAGAAACCCGCGCTGACCGTAGTGGTGAAGTTTGGTCAAAATCATCCCAACGGCCCGCACGGCGTGGGGAGGCCCTCATCCAGCAGTGGATTGACCAACGGACTCCCACCGTGAGCCCCATGGGAGCAGAGGTCACCGCCTCCTTGCTATTGTTCTCTCGTCTCACGTGCACACGTCGACGGGTCATTTGCATATATTTGCATATAATTTCAGACAATGAAACAGCGTTGCTTGTCGCGCGAGCTGCTCACGATGCATTAGACGTGAGCGTTAACAATCAATAATAATAATAATCGATTATCGAGATTCCCGGTTACACAGCCCGGTTCTAGCGAACTCGTCCCACGTGCATCGATCGGCGTGCCGGACACACGTGGCGTGTTGCTCACACGAGCTGTATTCCGCTACAGTCCTGTGCTCTTACACACGGACTCGTTTTCTTCCGGGGGGCGAGCTCCGGAAAATATCCCCCCACCACCCAAGCCGGTAAGGGAAGCCCGAAGTATATTCCATTCTGCGCCGACACACAAATGAACAGACCCCCCCCCCCCCACTCCAAACCCATATAGCCCTAGAGACCATACTTCACTACGCTGGTCAAAGCTGGTTGTTGGTGAAGGGGAGTGCCCAGGAACGATTCTGATGTCACTCATCGGCTCGATGTTCAAAATCGGAATCTGTATCAATATTGGAGGAATCCGATG